CTGGTCAGGAGTTGGTCACTTCTGGACAAGACACACACCGAGAAAAAATATGACTTGTTTGTGATTATTTACAATTATTATACATTATTTACTATCTTGTAAAAATCTAATTTGTAGCCTAAACTGTAATTTAAGAATATTTATTTTTAGTAAAATGCAAATGTTTATAAAAAATAAATACGATTAAGCTTGATAATATTTTTTTTAACAGTGTCCTGAGCTAGAAAGTAAACACATTGCCCTGACATCAACAACATTGTTTCCAATGCTAATGTTGTCCAATCTACCGGACCGGCGTCCATCAGCCACGCCCCACCTCAACTCACCCCACCGCCTTCCTGGGCGGTTGCTGTTGGCTTAATTAAATTGTGGTTGCAACTTGCGAAGCGAAGCGCGTACACAAAAATCACACAACTGGGCCGAGAAGCGAGTGCGGTTGCCACTTTATGATTGCAATTGTTGTTCTAGCTGCGGTGGCTGTGGTTCGTTTTTAATAGGCACTTTGCAGCATTAAGCACCCTGTACTTCATGGTTGAACGAAAACATGATTCCGAGCTCAGGTGCTTATCATTAGATTTATTAGCAATTACCTTTCCAAAAACGCATTCGAAATTAAATCTCATGACAGAAGTACAAGGACTTGATAAGGCCTGATAGGAAAGTCTCGATAACCAAGGCCTCGGTGGCGCAGTTGGCAGCGCGTAAGTCTCATAATCTTAAGGTCGTGAGTTCGAGCCTCACCCGGGGCATGTAATATTTTTTCACTATGTACACATGTTTTATTTATTATTTTTACATTATTTATTGTTAGTGCTTGATTAAGTTCAAATTATCCATTAAAATAAAATTTAAAATAGTGAAAATGCCAAATTATTATCAAACTGTTCTATTAAAATATACAAGAATATATTAAATTAAAAATATATAAGTAAATTTTATAAATATTGTTTAATAAATTATTTCAAAGCGTTAAATAATCCAGCAAGCTCTCCAAATTTAAAAATAATCCTTTTTTTTAATTATTCCCTAAAACGACGACAAATAGACTTCTTTTGGTAAAATAATTTTAATTTTGTTTTTTCTGTAGTCCCTTTTTATCTATATATATTTTAAAAAAATATAACTAAAATGCAATGCACATATCATTAGCACCCGAAGAGTAACCTATAGTCGGCTTTTGTCACCTTTTGTGTTTTTCCCTCATTAAATCTGTAAACCGCAGAAATACCACATCTCGAAAAACCGCAACGAGGATGACAAAAACTTGGCTACCGTCATTATCAAGATTATGGCATTAGTCACATTATGCATACATTTTAAAACATAACCAACAATAACAACGACAACCATCCCAGTAACAGCTATTAAGTTAACTACGAAAAATAACAGTGTAAAGTGCCAGAGAAAAATGTTAGAGTTACTCTATTTAACAGAGAAGCTATCTGAAATTCATGGGGGAACACTTTAAGACTTAAGCCAAATCCAGCGGGAAACGAAATGCAATTTCCAAGGACTCTCCGACACCAACAAAGGCGAGGAAAAATTCTCTGGAGCTGCAAGCTCAACTCTCTTCATTTGCCGCCCCAAAAAGTATGCAATGAAAATCGAAGCAAACGAAGTGAAATGCTCGTAAATTGTAGTTGGCTGACAAGTTGACTCCTGGCTGGATTTACCAGGAACGGGTGGCGCCGCCAGTTGAGCGGTGGGTGATGGGCGGTTAGTTGGTTGGGTGGCCGCCAGGATGTGCGGGATGACATTGCACTCGACTCGACTCGCCGACGAGTGCAATGAAACTGCAAAACTTACTCCAGACGAGCCAGGAAGCGCCAGGCATATCAAATTGTTAGTGTTTGTGGGCAAATGGGACCTCAACTAAGCTGCTCACTACTTCTTATTTGCTCCTTGTGCACTCCCTGTTCAATGTATCTCTCTTTATTGTGCATTTGTCCTTTGGCAGCTCAGCGAAGGACAAAATTCAATGAACGTTTTCCTGTCTTCGCTGATGCACTACTAAAATATGCTTCCGGATTTTTGATATTATGAAATAGAAAACGTTTTAATTCTGGGCAAGGAATTATAATATTTTTTAGATCAATTATTATTATTATTTTAATATCTATTTATATTTCTGTGATTTCATTCTTATTTTTTAATTAAGACTGAATACTTTTTGATTAAAATATTATACCTTCACCCTTTAAATCTTATAATTTAAATCTTTTCTGTCTTTTTATAAAACACTATATAGATTTCCCCCTAGTGTATCGATTCGAGCGTCGATGAATGAAAATCATGACCGAAAATAGACAAGGAAAAATAAAATAAAAACGTTTTTGTACTCCAAATTCGGTCATAAAAAGGATTTTTATGAACCCTCTACCACTTGAGTTCGTCAGCTCCCTGTTGACCTTTCAGCCATGGACGGTCATCACCTGCACAGCTGCACTTTCATTAATATTGTGTTTTTGTTGCGGCTTCGCAAAGAGTTTTCTTTCAGACCAATTAAGTGCTGGCTTTCCACCATTGCCTTTTCTTCATTGTTGCTGGCGAGCATAAAATTCAATCAAGTTTTGTGTTGAGCCAAAAGTTACGATGCCTCAGACAAGAGCGCATTTACCCCTTGAGTCCTCCACCTTTCCCCATTTGAGCGCCCCCCGACGACTGGCAGACAGACAGGACACGTTTGTCCTTACATTGTCCTCTGGTCGGTTGCTGTTGCATCCCATGGATCCCTGTCTAGACTTGAGTTGGTTGCCCTCAACCCACTGCCATGACAACCGCATGCGATTTATGCTGATGCGAGCATTTACCCCCTTGGCCCGCCCATCCCTCAATTAGCACCCCCAGCACTCCTCCACGCGCTAATATTATTAAATGCAAATTAAGCTTTATCCCATTTCATTCATTAGCGGCTGTAATTCAGCCCGCAAGAGTCCTTGTTTATTAGCACCTCGAATCGGTTGGGGTTTCACACGAAAATAACAGGGATACAAACGGATTTATAATGAAATAAAATTTACAATAATTTTAAAACTTTGGTTAAGCTAATAGCTATTGAAACAGGAATTTTGGTTTTTGATATGATTATTTGGCTGTAATTTAGCATACAAGAATTTATCATATGGTTAATAAGGTGGGGATCAATAAAAGGATTGGCTTTGGTCCTTATTAATTGTTTTTGATTAATATAATGTTCCTTTTTGAAGTATTTTTTGGATATACTCATTTGTTTTTTATTATTAAAACTTATTAGTTTCCGATATTTTATTGCTTGCCTGTTTTAATGTTATTATTTCCTTGGATTATATTACGAAGTTTGTAATTTGGGAATAAAAAACTGGAAAATAAAACCGAACTCTATTCTCCATTTGAGTTTGCATCCCTGAACATGCGGTGGTGAATAGTGCAATTGAGGTGCAAATTCCAGTGCGAAGATTGCTTCTTTTGTTGCTTCATTTCTTGGCTAATTTGCAAACCAATTAAATGTCAATTTGAGGCATTGTTCCTTAACCTCTCGTTCTCTAACCACTCCTTCAATGTCTTTTAGTCCCATGTGGAATAACTTTTTTTCGCCACCGCCAAAGTTTCGCCCATTGCCTGTCTAGACTTCTTTGGCAGACTCTCACGACTTCTTCTTTCGACTGCAGCTCTACTTTTCCCCGTAGTTTGCATTGCGTAGTTTGCATAACTTTTTCCCCAACTTCTCTCCATTTTCGCCCAGCGCCTTTCAACGGCTAAGTGAGTTTTAATGCCGGCAAAAGCGCCCAAGGGTGGAGCAATGGGTTTGGGTTTGGGTTTTCCATCCAAATTGGCATACGTTGCGTATGCGTTATATGTTCATTTATAGTTTGTATGCTTAGTTTGAATATTTGACTCGATTCACTCATTATTCATGTCTGTTCGCCACTTGGTTTGCTATGCGAATACTGTCGTCCCACGAAAACGACACGCCCCCGCAACCGCAGTCAGCCAGTCGGTCGGTTATGGTCAGAATCGGGAAAAGTTACGGAACCGAGGGAAAGCGGAAAGAGTTTTTCATCCTGGTCAAAAAATGTTATGCAAAAAGGAAAAAAACAAAGGCTGAAATTGCACATTGCAATGCACATAACAAGATGGAAAAGGCTATGAAGCCGACTTTTGTATACTTTTTTAGGAATAATTTGTCATTTTATATACCAAACTCAAAATTAATATTATAATGGTAAATTTGTAAAACGTTTTGTCAAAATAAAAAATAATGAACAAATTAATACGAGTAATAACGCTTTCAAAGTTTTTTCACATTATCGCAAATCTGTTTTTAGTATTCGAAGAAAATCAAAATTAAATGATATATATTTTAGATTTAATAAACATCTGCCAGATCTTTCAAATTTATGTTAATACTTATTGTTCACTTCTTTTAATTCCAGCAATCTATCAGATGCGAAACTCTCTTCAGAGCTGGGAATGCAAAGTTTTAATCACCTTTCTGATCCCAAAGTGGTCATGTCCCAGCCCAAGTAGAAGCCTCTCCTGGCATTCGAATATGGCTGCGGGATACTCGGACTTTTTTGCCGAGAATCAGAATCAGAGCACCCACCCATTCAGCCACAATGGAGGAACGACGGCAGAACCAGCCGGCCAATGAGTTTTTGAGCTAAAAGTTGAATTGTGCATCGACGTCCCCCCAGGAGCCCCCCAAAAACCCTCGCACAACGCAACTGTGTGCGTGTGTTTTCGACTGTCTGTGTGGTATGCACTTGTCTAGACATTGGCTAGACAGTGTAAAACCAAAAAATAACAGCAACAACAATTACAGTAAATGCCGGCGACACAAAACGAAACGAAATGTTGCACAATCCACGTAGACCCCCTGAAAAAAATTGAGGGAATGGGATCAGGAGACATTGTCGTCGTCGACGAGACGGCGGAGACAAATTTTTGGCAATACATTTGACAAATTTCCGTGCGAACGCTGAGTGCGAGCCGTGCAAGGCTTCGAAAAATCCATTCCACCATTGTTTTCTACTTTTGATTTTATTTGGTAACTAAGTGGAAACTACTGGGTAAACCTAAGTGGAGACTCCACACATCACTCCACTGCACGTCATCCTCCTGCACTCCATTTACGAGGCAGCGAACTTCTTCCTCTGATACGGCGGCGGCAGCGGAGCCAACAGATTGTTTGTCGAAATGCTGACGTTGACAAGTTCGTTAGAGCTCAGCCGAGACACGTGCACCAGGTGCTGCAAAAAGAGAAAATTGAGGTGAGAATATGTTTGCAAATAATGGGTGGAATTTAGGATTTAGTGTAGCCATTGGCAGAAAACGTTAAAAATGGCTTCTGGTTCCTATTTTATATTTCAGTCCTCTCCGTTGTAGATTTACTGATCAGTTTTTAACTATCTACTTAATGTAAAACAATTTTAGAATTTAATAATATTCTTACCTGGCGAGGGAGCTGAGACTTTAGGTTTAGGCTCTTCGATTTGCTTGCAATTGAGGATCGGTTTCCATTTAACAACTTCTTCGACTTGGTATTAGCCACGGGATCCTTTGGTTCCAGATGCTCTACCCTCTCCAACACATATAAATGTGTTTCAGTGTAAGCCATAAAAATATTAGGATTCTTAGGATCCAAGCTGATACCACTGATGCAATGGTGCCTGGTGTCCGGTATCAGGTACTCTTCAGTTTCACAGGTAAATTGACGATTTACCAAATCGTACTCTACAAGTTTTCCATTAGCGTAGGCCACGACCACACGTGATAGATCCTCGTGCATGGATACAGCGGTGGTTCCTGCTCGATGTCTGGGTAGATTTAGCAGGTGTTTGTAACTTTTGTTATGTAGCTTCCAAACTGATATTAATTGATCAGAGGTACCAGCAACGATGTAATCTCCATCCGAAGAAAGCACAAGGTGGTTAATAGTACTCTTGCAATGATCACTCAAATCGACGCTGTTTAGAAAGATAACCTCATTTTCCTTTAAGTTAAACCAACTCAGAGTGTTGTTTTGGGGATTGAGCAGAACTAGTCTTCCTTGCTTTGTAAAAATTATGTGGCTGGATGGTTGGAGTTCCTCGGGAAGGTCCTCAACCAAACGCTCCACTTGCAGGGGAGCACTCTTCAAACGGCTTAAACGCAGTTCCTTTAAAGTAGAGTAGCAAATCCAGTTTGCATCTTGTGAAATGGCAGCAGCTTGTATGTAATTCTGCTCCTTAACATTCAGTTGAAGAAGTTTTTGGGGAGGTTGCTCCAAAAGTAGTTCCTCTGAGTGTCCAACTGGCTGTTTCCAAAGTGTTTTCTTCTCCTCGTCTTTTGGAGTCGAAGCACCCAAACGCCATAGATGTAGACTGTTTGGATATCTTAAGAGCAATAGTTTTTCACTGATGGCCAAAGATGCAACAGATCCCTTAAGGAAGGGAGCATGTTGTGACAGATGTGCCTGCATCCTTTCGCTGGAGGTTACAGTCAATATGCCATCTAAGCCTCCTGAAAAAATCTGACCGTCAATAACCAACAGGGATTTCACATAGTGCTTGTGGGCATCGCGTTGAAGGAACTTAATCCATCGCTCGCTGCTTGATTCCTCCCGCTTGATCTTTGTCTTGCTGAAAATCCGGATTAGTGGTGGCTGCATTCCACCGCAAACCAATCTATCCTCCTTTTCATTTACAGCCAATGCAAATACGTTTTTATCTAAAACACGAGTGGAATTAATCTGAGTGGCATTTTCAGCATTCCAAACAGTCACAAATCCCGCAGAGTCGCCAGCAATAATCGTATTATCCGATAGAACCTGCAGGGACCAAACAATCACATCCTCGGCCGAAAGTGTCATCGTATGAAGTGTGGTTCCGTTGAGGACATTCCAAATTCGAACAAATCCCTCAGTGCCGGTCACCAATTTCTTTCCTGTCTTATCAAACTTTATGCAGAGAACACGGCCTTTTTGTTTGTTAAAGAGGGATTTATAGGTGATTTCATCATTCTCGATGCTCAGAATGTTGATGTGTCCCTCCTCGGAACCCACCGCGATTTCTGTTTCGGCGGCGTTGACGTCCAGACTCCAAAGGGCATTTCCGGTTGGCGAGTGCTCGTATCGTGGCTTTAGATTAATCACGTCCCACTCTATCAGTTTGCCTGTAAGATCTACGGAAAATAGACGATTTCCCGCCCAAGCTAAAGACTCCGCAGGAGAATCTGGTGGCAGGTGAATAACACGATCCAAATAGGGGGTGTGCTCCAAGTTCCAAAGTTCTATGATGGAGGTTTCACTAAAAGGATGGTATTAATTAATAACATACTTGAACTTTTTTGTTTTCCACAATTTATTTTACCGACTCAAGGCGAGGCACTTGTTTGATTTACTGTATGCTAAACTGTTTATGCCACGCGGTTTTATCGTGTAGAAGCGGACGTTGTGCAACTGATGTTTGCCCCCACCTTGGGGTTCTTTTTTCGCAAGATTCTTCATATTATTTAGTTATACAAATTATTAAATCAAGCAGAAGTAATTAATAAAAACTGAAACAAAATTCCTCTGGAGTTGCACGTGTATGCCTAAGGGGTGCCAGATGGTCGAATACGCGAAGTAAACAAACTACACGAGCTGCCACATGGGAAAAAACATACTGTCTTAACCCTTATAATGTCATTGTTAAATACCAGATAGATAATTTTGTAAACAATATTTAGAGTCGCGATTGTACGTGGAATTTTAAGCTTAGCAAAGGGGAAACCTTTAAAAAGTATATTAAATGTTGGTTATTATGTATATTTTCACTAATATTGAGTATTTATAGACCACCAACATCTGGTCACTTTAAAGACTGTGATTGGGGTGGTTTTTGCAAATGTTTTCTTTTGTTGTTGCTGCGGTCCGAAGGAAAATATTTTCAATCTGAAAATTAAACCAGTCAGCTAATTAAATTAAGTTAAACGTCAATAAAAGATCATAAAGCATGATATAGCAAAAGGGCAGCGAAAAATTCACCCTTGTAACAATAAAAGAAAAGATGTCGCCAATCTCTATTTGGACTTTCGGCCTCCTGAGCGGTAAATAAATAAGGATAGGAAGGGAAAATCAAAGGATATACTTAATTATTAAACAAATCAACAGCTCTGCTTGTGACTTTGGGCTCAACAGCGATTTCCTCGAAGGTTCTGGAGCTTAGTGACCGCTTTATCGATGTGCGACACGAGGGACAGTGGTTAGTCATGTTCTATGCCCCATGGTGCGGGTACTGCAAGAAAACCGAGCCAATCTTCGCATTGGTGGCTCAAGCACTCCATGCCACAAATGTGCGCGTGGGCCGCCTGGATTGCACCAGGTATCCGGCGGCTGCAAAGGAGTTCAAGGTATGATAACGGGAATTACCCTCAAGAAACAAGAAAAATATATCTGCTAACATATAGGGCGTTTTTAAAAAATAATAAATACTACTACATTGATATCTTTTAGGTTCGTGGCTATCCCACAATCATGTTTATCAAGGGCAATATGGAGTTCACCTACAATGGTGATCGCGGTCGCGATGAACTAGTAGACTATGCATTGAGGATGTCTGGACCTCCAGTTCAGCTGGTCACGCGAACGGAGAGTGTTGACATGCTTAAAGGATCACACACGATCTTCTTCATTTTTGTGGGTCAGCAGGAAGGTGTGGTGTGGGATACATACTATGCTGCAGCTGAAGGTTACCAAGAGCATGGGTTCTTTTACGCCACTAGCGAGGATATTGCTGCTCAGCACTTTGACTTTGAAAAACTGCCAGCGGTTATAGTCTACAAGGAGGAGCAGCATCACTTTTATCCGCATGGGCACTTGGCCCACGAAATGGATCCCAATGAAGTGAATGAAACCGTTTTCCAGTGGGTGAACGTCGAGAGGTTCACTATGTTCCCTAAGGTCACTCGATTTAACATCCATCAGCTGTTGAAGACGAACAAGTATTTGGTACTAGCTGTGGTGCAAGAGGATAAACTCAATCAGATAGCCACCCATGAGCTGGAGTTCCGTGATATGGTAGAGGGGGTGATAAGAAAGCACAGGGCGCGATATCATGATAAGTTCCAATTCGGATGGGTAAGTTAACGCATAAAATATAATCCATACCAACTCATCAAACGCTTCCTTTTAGATCGGTGAGCCATCGATAGCACATTCCATCATTCTGGACCAGCTACCTACGCCGCATTTGATAGCGATTAATTCGAGCACCCAGCACCACTTTATACCCGATGATGATCCCATGCAGATGACGCCACAAGCACTGCATCTGTTCCTTGAATCCATTCGAAATGAGAGTGCAGTTGCCTATGGAGGAGATACGTACTTTGTGCGTTTAAATCGGGCACTATTCGAGGTGCGAAGAGCTCTAAAAGATATGTGGCTAGGAAATCCCGTTTTGACCACTGTTATCTTCGGCCTGCCACTTGGGTTCCTCTCGCTTATTATGTACTCTATTTTCTGCGGCGATTGTTTGGTGACCGAAGAAGATTCTGATGAAGATCACGAAAAGAAGGAGTAAGAAGATAACAAAGGATTATAACGTGGCGTATGAAAAAAAAAGAGAGTTCTGAGTGATCTCGAAGTGAATTTCCGAGTATAATCATACAACAAAGATTTGAATAAGGAAACTTGAGTATGAAGAAAGAAAACTAAAAGTTATACGAAATTAAGGAAACGCCATAAGCTGTCGTAGCAGATCCCACCCCTATCCCCTAGAGCAACTTTTCTACCGCATATAAATATAAGCCAAATCTAGTCCTACGTCAAAGTATCTCATCTCCGCTGGGCGAGACCTTCCAATCTGATTTAAGATCCGCGATTTGACACAAAGAAATCATACGTGCGTTTGGTTCTTTTTTTCGTTTTAAGTTAGTAAAAGTAATAAACATGATTTAGCGGATGCAAAGAGTGGGTGTAACTTAAATTAGAAGTTGGGCGGGATTTCTGATGGATCAGCAGCCGTAATCCTCATCATCGTCGCTGTCTATTGCTGCTCGTCGACGATCGTACTTTACAGAGGACTTGGCCTGCGGCATCTGGGCATTGACGCTTTCGAGAATGCTCACAAACTGGGCATCATCGAGTTTTCCACGCACCTGACCCATCTGGGCCATCCGGATGACCATGTTTTCAAACATTTGCGCCTTCTCAGGCTTGCTGACTTTCAGGGTGTTCACTGTAGTAGATTTAAAGTGATACATAAAATATTTTAAAGCTATATTAATGCACTCACGTCGTGCTCTGGCCTGCTGGTCAAGAACTTGAGATAATATAGAGTGTTTCATCTCTTCCTGAGCGCGCATCTGCTCTTGTTGGGCTTGTTGTTTTTCCGCATCGTTGCCACCGCCGCCGCCCTTTACAAGGAAAGGAGTGAAAGGTCATTTAAGGATAAGGCTTTAAAGGAACAGGTGTCTCAGAAAAACAAGATGACTCATAGGGCTAAATAGATATCTGCATTCTAAAATAAACTACTAATGCAAATTTTGTAGTTATGCATTTGCATAATAATTGTAATTAATTAATTAATTTATATCTTCTTATTCTCTCCATATTATTGCTATTTTTAGAATTTTCTTGAGGAATCTAGCCGGTTCGAACCTTATTAAAATAGTTTACTTACAAATTGCGACTGCATTTGGGACATGCGCTGGGCGCGTAAGGCATCTAAATCACCATCCGACATACTGATTTCTTAATTTTAGTTTATGTATGGCAGTAATTTAAGCAATTGTCAAGATTTTGCTTCTACAAAAATAATCACGCACTTTTCGACAAAAAAGTGTGGAGTTAATCAGTGTAACCCTACTACACAATAATTATCGATAAGTCCCATTACTCATAAGTGCGTTCTTAGGTAGCCCTGGTCACTCGGTGTTTTAGGAAGAAGAAGAGTGGGCGAGAAAAATAAAAATCACCAAGAAAATAAACAAATACGCTAAATAAAATAATCGAGACCGAATAAAACCATTTGAAAATGTCTGCTCCACTGGAAAACCTGGAGACCCAGTTGGAGATGTTCATCGAGAATGTGCGGCAGATCCGCATCATCGTCAGCGACTTTCAACCTCAGGGACAGAACGTACTCAACCAGAAAATGTAAGTAAAATATGAAATACATCTCATATACATAAATAAATAATATATATTCCCTTACAGTAACAGCTTGGTAACCGGCCTTCAGGAGATCGATAAGCTCCGTTCCCAAGTGCAAGACGTCTATGTGCCTTTTGAAGTATTTTTTGACTACATCGACCAGGACAAGAATCCCCAGCTGTACACCAAGGATTGCGTGGAGAAGGCACTGGCCAAAAATGAGGAAGTCAAGGGCAAGATCGAGAGTCTGAAAAAGTTCAAGTCGAATCTTTTGCTTGAACTATACAAAACCTTTCCCAACGAGATGAACAGCTATCGTGCTTATCGTAAGACTCCATGAGTCCATATATGCCAAGTATAAGCCACCTGAATCGTAGTTTTAAGCCACACGCTGGAATAAATTTATACAAATTTACATTAACCTTTGTGTTTTACAAGCATTGAGTGTGTTTATTTTCTGTTCCTAACTTATTTATTCGGGATAAAATTGTATAGTTTTATTTCTATAGATTTCTTTTGGTAATTTAGCTTGAAATAAATTGAATACTTAAAAAAAACTATAACTTCTAAAAATTAATCGTATATAATTAATGCCTTTAACATTTTAAGTTTTAAATAATATGCGAAATAATGATTTTTGTTTAATCGACTTAAAAAAATAAAAACTTTACAACCCTAATAAAAGCGTTGCCACACTACTCTTTATCAGCTGTTATTTGTTATTGTCAGCTTGTGTAATTTAAAAACTTTTGATTGTGGATAAAAATAGATAAATTTAGTTTTGAAATGCGGAGTGTAATTAATGGCTTTGCAACTGCAGTAAGGGCTAGCAATTTCACACCACTTTCCAGAAATGTTGTGCAGTTTGAACGTCTTCGTTTGTCCCAAGTACGAAATTTTTCAGTTGAATCCTCGCCGGTTTGTTGGAATTGCCTAAAGAAATCGGAATTAAAAAAGAAAATGATATGTTCGGATTGTGGACATTTGCAGGATGTTAATGCAGAAATAGTAAGTCTATATTCATAGCGCATTTAATTTATTAAATCCTAACATTTTTAGAATTACTTCGACTTGTTGAGCTTTCCCACTGAGTTTTCTTTGGAGTCCCAAAAGTTGACAAAAAGTTTTCGCCAATTGCAGACCATAGTACATCCTGATAAATATAGTAACAAGTGGGTATTTACTTATTTATTATAAAGTAAACTTAAATATAAAAATCCCTGAGTTTACAGAACTTCCCGTGAGCAAACCAACTCCGCGGATTGGAGTTCGCTGATCAATAAGGCTTATAAAACACTTGCGACTCCCATAGAACGTGGTCAGTACCTACTGCAATTGGCGGGAGAACAGATGCCTCAGGATAATAGCGCCTTGAATAAGGAGTTTCTAATGGCAATGATGGAACGAAATGAGGAGGTGGAAGAAGCGGAAGATACTAAAGCTCTAAATGAATTAAACACCCAACTTATAAAAGAACTCGATGAAATGGCCAAAAAGTTAAATTCTCTTTTTAAAAGCAAAGACCTCAAGGGAGTGAAAGAAACGCTGGTAGAGATGAAGTACCTACTGAGTATTCAGAACAGTATCAAACAGAAGCAGCAAAGTTTGCTGGGCAGCTGAAAATGTTTTAATCGATCTGGCAATCGGTTCTGATCGCTCACACACACATGTCCAGCTGTTGCTATCTATCAGCTTTTAAGTAAACAATAACACTGATTTCGTTTGTTTTATAATGTGAATAAAAATCGCGACACAGCAGTTATGGTCGATGCAATTTGTTAATTATCCATTATTGCCCGAATGGAACAGGTTTTATCCAACTCTCGATGGAAGCCGTAGGAGTTTTTCCCCTATGTTTATTTGGAAATAATATAATCAATTAATCGCGGTACTAACTGTTGAACCCATGTCGCTCGGGGGAGACCCTTTGAAGAACCCAGAAACGAATACATCGGCAAATAGTCAACTCATGCCCACTCACACATATGCTTAAGACATGTGTGCAGACGGAAAAATCGTCGCAGTTTATATAAATTTGAATTGCTCGCCGCTTAAGCGGACAGTTCTTGTTAACTGGTGACAGCGATTGGGTTTGCCTGCGGAACAGCCCCGACTTCTGGGAAATTCTTCTGGAAGCCGGAAAACTCTTGGATAAGTCCAGCGGCACTAAAGAAATACTTCTAGAATAACACAAACCTCTGCCTTAACTTGCCATAGAATAAATATTCTGAAATAATCAATACCCCTGATAAGGTAATATATGTGAAAACTAAGAAATTGCTTAAGAAGTGACTCTATATCAGCAAAGAAACACTAGAGAAAACCAATGATTTATTTTGGTAAAGATTGATAAGAAACTATTATGATAGACGCACAAAAAAAAACTAGAAACGAATTGTATTTATAATATTACAAAATATAAAAGCTCGAGTAAGAAAGACACGGTAACGTATTTGTTTTAATATTTTTATACATTATAAGGCCCTACCAAAATGCAGAAATTTTCGACAAGCCTGCTGATCTTGATCAGTTCTTTGATTGTGGTATCGGCGGACATCCCGTCACCCATCATAGGAGTTCTCACACAGGAGGTTTATACCGACGGATTGATCTCGCGACACTTTGATAACAAGACCAGTTATATAGCAGCTTCGTATGTGAAATATCTGGAAGGAGCTGGAGCTCGAGTTGTGCCGATATGGTGAGTAAGCAGACAGATACAAATAATAAAAGATCTTATCATTGCCAAGCTATTTCACCAAAGTACCGCAGATAAGGTTAAATATGATGGTATCAAATATTCTTACACGTGTGAAAATAGGACATAAATTAAAGCAAGGGTAAATGCAATTTGGTGTTGAAGCTTCGTTTTATAGATAAGATTGCCCAAAATCAATTAATAAACCATTTTCAAATACTCTCGACAGGATCGGCCGCAATCGGAGCTACTACGAAGATCTCATGCACAAGATAAATGGGTTGGTATAAATTTAAAATCAAGGAACTTCCCGCATCTAAATTTATTGCTGTTTTGACAGAGTTTTGTTGCCCGGCGGTGCTACTTGGTTCAATCAGTCCAATGGTTATGCCGATGCAGGCGAACACCTCATCCAGTTGGCCATTGAACAGAACGACCAGGGAATCTTTATGCCGATTTGGGGTACTTGTCTTGGCATGGAACTCTTGGTTTTTAAAATGGCCAATGAAACTGAGCATCGGATTAACTGCCAGGGAACAGGGATTGCACTGCCAATGGAATTTAAGGAAGGTATAGTATAGATATAAAAAAATTAAACTAGAAAATGTTAATTATATTAATTTTCACATAGGATACAACAAGAGCCGACTATTTGCCTCCATTAGTGATGATGTTGTGGCCATTATGGCGAAGGAAAATGTGACATATCATTGGCATCAGTTTTGTTATACTGAAAAGGACTTCGAACGGGATCTTCTAAACGAAACATGGCGGGTTATGTCCTTGAATCACGACTGGAATGGAATTGAGTTTATTTCCACAATGGAGCATATAAAGTACCCCTTCTATGGAGTTCAATTCCATCCGGAGAAGCCTTTGTATGAGTTTACCAAGACGAGCATTCCCCATACGGCAGCTGCTGTAATAAGTGGTCAATTCTTTGCTGATTTCTTTGTAAGTGAGGCTAGGAAAAGTAATCAGAGCTTCGCCAATACCACGGAGCAGGCCAGAAAGCTAATCTACAACTATAAGCCGGAGTACACTTCGATTCTGGGCTCCTCGTATATCCAGCAATATTTGTTTACCAATGACGAAATGGAAATTCCTGACGAGGGCGGCGATGGCGAGGGCGGCAACAGTGGGGGATACATTCCTATAATTGTTCCAGGCGATAGTAGCTCTACCATCTTACCGCTGCTCAGTAGTTTACTCTTAACCTTGCTGATCCTATCAATTAATTAATTGAGTAATTTTATGGCACGAACTTTGGTCAAGTAAACAAGATTTATCATGTCTTGAAATTAGATTTACGCACACAGTACTCACCGATTTAAGACTTCATGTTTTTTGATCGATTTTATATTGTTATCTTTGAAATTATCTATGTGATTGTTGATCAAATTATTTACGTCCCAGCAAAATATTAAAAAAGATTTTCCTTGTCGCCATGGGTGACTCGATTGGTAAATTAATGGTTCTTTAAATAGATTCACTTCACAAGAAGATAAGTGATTTAAGTGAATTCGACCCCACATTAGTGTAGATAAAATTATTTTTCGGGTAGCAAAGATATCTATATACGTTTATAATCAGGGGCCTGTCATCGAAACTTGGTAATAAAAACGCCAAAGAAAATGTCTACTCTCTTTTGAAGAATTATTTTTGGTATTCAGGGTTTTATGGGTGATGTTAATTTGATTAAGTGCTTATGATTGTTGGGTTCAGAAAACGATTAACTAATTAAACTTATTCAGAAGTAGTAGAAGTTATATAATAAACTGAATCTACTCGACCCTAGCTTCCAATTGTTTTTTGTTGATTTTGCTAAAAGGATATTATAATTTTATAAAAACACTTTCCGATATCCACATAACTAACTAATTACCCACTACCAGTCCTCTATGCCAAACATTATAATATTTTAATCAGACCTGAGTTCTTTAGGAGAAAGGTCAGAATTTTCATAAAATCCTTCCGTACTGTTAGATCAGAAACTACAGTCATTCTATCAGTTTATTTATACAATTTATCTGAAATGCCCCAAAGTAGACAAGCATTTCCCATATTCGTCTTAGAAATTGGAACGCTCGTGTCTGTTGAAATTCTGCCAAGTTGCGAATGTTACGGCTTGTTCGGTTTGTTTACGTTTGGTTTGCACTTGCACGGCCATTCAGTTGCCCGTAGTCAGAAATCGGAAGACGACGATGACGGAGAGCGCATGTCCCAGTGATGCGTCTGCATCTCTTAACCATATACCAACAATTGGCGTCCTGTGCATCGATATAGCCACCACATTGCAGGAGCACTTTGGTCGGGAGTTCCACAGCTATATAGCCGCTTCCTATGTCAAATTTCTGGAGGCATCTGGTGCCCATGTGCTGCCCATTTGGTAAGAAGTGCAGTGAGTGGACAAATCCATTAAATGCTTATATTTGGAATTGATAAAGATTAGGGTTCTTTTTAGTAGTTGGAACTACGATAAGAGTATTAAGCGACTATATACGAGGTGTGTTCAAAAAGTAAGGTGACTTTTCAAATTTCTCGGGCAACATATTTTCGATTATCGATTTTTTTGTTTTGTTATATTGGTACACTCTTCCCTAACATCTGTACCAAGTTTCAATGGAACATCCTCTTTTGTTTGGTTGTGAGAGGCGTAAAGTTACAAGTTGTTTTGCGAGCTCGGCGATTTTTTGCTATCGAAAAATATGGATCAAAGGATTTGCATCAAATTTTGTGTAAAAAATAAAATTAAGTGCTCTGAAACACTTGAAATGTTGACAGTGGCATACGGTGAAACTGTTCTGAGTAAAAAAAATGTGTACAAGTGGTACAAACTCTTCCAAGATGGCCGGGAAGATGCCAATGACCAGCCTCGCTCTGGACGCCCAAGCACGTCAACAACTGATGAAAACGTTCAAGCAGTGACGAAAATTGTTTTGGAAAATCGTCGAATCACTATCAGAGAAGTTGCTGAAGATGTCGGTATATCGCTTGGCTCGTGCCATGAAATTTTTTCAAACGTTTTGGGTATGAGTCGTGTGTCAGCGAAGTTTGTTCCGAAATTGCTGAATTTTGAGCAAAAGAACCGTCGCATGAGCATCGCTCAAGAGCTGTTGAATGACGTCAACGACGACCCAGATTTACTCAAAAGGGTCATAACTGGTGACGAATCATGGGTATATGGTTATGATATCGAAACCAAAGCCCAATCGTCCCAATGGAAGAGCCCAGGCGAGCCAAGACCGAAAAAAGCAAAAAATCGCCGAGCTCGCAAAACAACTTGTAACTTTACGCCTCTCACAACCAAACAAAAGAGGATGTTCCATTGAAACTTGGTACAGATGTTAGGGAAGAGTGTACCAATATAACAAAACAAAAAAATCGATAATCGAAAATATGTTGCCCGAGAAATTTGAAAAGTCACCTTACTTTTTGAACACACCTCGTATATGTAATGTATTCGCAAAACAAAGACAATTAGATTTATTACATTTGAGAAAGTCGTATTTATGTAGCTCATAGTGTCTCTTGCTCTTTCATATATGTATTTTGTTGTTAAAAAGGGAACGCAATAGTCACTGAAGGGTGCAGAATCAATTTATATGGTAATCGAATGGTTTAACGTGCGAATATATATTTTGTTAACCCATTGCATTCCAATCATTTCTCTTCGGAAGTCACGTATGTACTTAGTTACCTTTGTCTGCGCCGCAGCTTTATAATCGAAATGTAATAAAAAGTTTCGAAAGCTCTTGTTGCATTGCTGCCATGTGCATCGATAAGTCTCTGGGTCACAATTATGGCCAAGAATGAAATGTTATTTGCCTACCATCTGTGCCTTTTCCTGTGCACATCTGCTCAGTTGAGGAGCATCGCCAAAGCCAGATATGTAATAAACAAATGGCTCAAAAAACGAACTAAGTGGCAAGCGATCGGGTAGGTAAGAGAATTAATTACCTACCCGGGCATCGTGCCAAGAAAATCTGGCTGCATGCAATGCGATTAAGGAATGAGGCGAGAAAGTGTTCATATTTAATTTTTGAACAAATGTGTTTTCATTTTAAATTAGAAACTAATAGTCAAATTAATTTCAGGATCGGTCGCGAACGAGCATACTATGAGTTGATGATGGGACAGATAAATGGCATTCTTTTGCCAGGAGGAGCGGTCTTCATCGATCAGGCAGATATGGAAGCCCACCCGGAACTGACAAACGATTGTGTCCAGAGTGCCGAGTACATTTGCCAACTTGCCATGGAGCGGAATCAGCGGGCGAGAAAAAATAACGATGCCGGTGGATATTTTCCCATTTGGGGAACATGTCTTGGCTTTCAGTTTATCTTAATCCATGCTGCCGGGGAGGCCAAGACTCGCACCGATTGTCAGCCTATGAGAAACGCGATGCCAGTGAAACTAGTTAAGAACTACCAGAAATCACAGTTCTTTGAGAGTCTGTCGAATACTGTAGCTGAGGAGATGGAAAAGCATTCATTTGCGTGTCATCAACATCGCTTTTGCATAACCAAAGAAAGTTTGGAGTCGTATGGTCTAGCCAACGATTGGCAACCATTGGCCACACAGAAGGATTCTTCAGGATTGGAATTCATTACGATAGTCGAGCATCGACGTTTTCCCATCTTTGGCTGTCAGTTTCATCCTGAACGCGCTGCTTTTGAGCAGCTTTTTGTTAAGGGGGACCCCAACTACTTGGCACATTCTCATTTTGGGATCAAGTTATCCCAAATCTTTGGGAGTCGATTTGTTGAGGTGTGTCGCAGGAACTCAAATCGATTCCGTAGTTCCAGCCTAAAAGCACGCCATCTTATCTGGAACTGGCAGCCAGTTTTCTCTGGTAAATTCAAGGATTCCAACTGGCTGCAGTGCTATCTTTTTAAGAAGGATGCAGACTACCCAGAAGATGAGAACGATTCTGTGGAATGTACCTCAAACAGCGTTTTGTGATAAACAAGGACTTACAGTTAAGATCTGATTAGCAATCTATTTTGTACTTATATTTTTGTAATTCTTATATACCCACAAACTGATATAGAGATCAAATATTTCTTAATGCCCTCCGAAAATTAAAGACCTAACGGGGTCAAAGATGTCACTGCAAGTACTTAAAAATTCTTTCATTTAGACCTTAAACAATTAATTAATAATTTTATAAAATTAAATAATAAAAATAATAAAATAATTAATAATTAATAAAAAGGTGCTATTAATATTTTTGATTACTGGAAGTAAAGTTGTTATCTTTTTTGCTCGGAATTAAAACTTGCTCAGCCCTGAGAGATAAATGTACCTTTTTATTTAATTTTGAATTTAAAGAACGAAGCTATCTTCATTGTCAAAGATTTAATAGATTTCTTTGGCCTTTTTAAATTAGAACACAAAATTACTTCTTGACTTCTGCTCTTTTCCTTTGACTTTAACTTCCCGCAAAATTTTCCTACTCATCTTTTCCTGTTTCCCATTTCTTTTGCCCAACTCACGGACTAGTTGTGAGTACTTTTCCACATTTGTCTCATGCAAATTTCACGCTGTACTTTTCCGTTCAATTTTGGTGCGCGCTTTTCGTTTTTCTTGTCTTTTAGGGATTTTCAGTGGTGGAAAGCTATTTTCTGTTGCCTCCTGTTTTCCCATAAGGAAATGGAATATTTTTGTTCATTTTTATGGGTCTTCCTTTGGCAAGGGGTATGCATATTTTTAAGTGATGAGGGAATACAGAATTTGATTTTAGGCAATTTGTACTTAAAATAGTTCATAATACTATGACATGTACTAAAAAGCATTAAATAATGGCTTGGCAATGGTAATCATAGTAATTTTGACAAATTCGAATAAAATATATTTAAAATTATTCTTTGACTGAGATCGTTTTGTGTTAATTTCAAATGTATTCCGTATAGGGTACTTGGAGAACGAAGTTTTAAAATTTGTCAATTCATTGGGCGTGTTTCTTGGAAGGCCCATTTTCGTGCCTCGCCTCTTAAAATTTCCACTCGAGGGGCTCGTCAAAAGGTTGGCTGCTCATAATTAGCGCATGACAGAACGGAATTTTTCCTGTCGGGCTTATGGTTATTTGTAAATTCCTCGGCATATTCCATTAGGCGGACACTGGCTTGGTTATTTATTAAGGGTTTTTATTTTTCTCGCCAGGGTTAAAGTTCAGTCTGAGGTGTGAACACGAATTATTACTGTCGTTGGAGCGGTGGCTTGTTATGGCACATGTTTTTGTCTGATTCCCATTATTGTTTGTGGCTTCTCGGTATGTTGGTGGCACTCTCATTGTTATGTCCTGGTATCTCTCCGTCTGGGTCTCCGGCTTTTCCGCACTGTCTGGCTTCCTCCTATTCGCCCCTTAGCTTTTCCATCACCCCTCTATTGTGAGTAGTTTTTTCTACGATCTGAAATCACATGCTAATGAGTCTAGTGGAATGTCTAGCCTTTTCTTGACATTTTAATCTTTTTATCAAAGTTGCAACATGTGCTTTAATATTTCTCATTCATTATTTTATACATATTTTTTATTAAAAGCTCCTATATAGAAACGCAAATGGAAGTCTTAAGCAATTTTAATACTATTTTTATATTTTGTATTATTTTAAAATATTGTATCTTCTTAATAATTATTTGTCAATATGTTTGAATTTTATTTAACTTGAATTTAAATAAGTAATATCTATCTATTTTCTGGTGTAAATATTCTAAAGATTATTTCTTTGATTTATAAACATTTATAACCCAGTACCCTTATAGATTTTACTTATTTACCGAATATTTTAACATTCGCCTGCGTTTCTTTTGTTTATTTCTATGTGCACTTACGTTATTGTGTGATCCTGGCTGGGAAACAAAATTGTCAGCATAAATGCCGCATTAAATGCCCTTGTGCCCATTTTATAGACTCACTCATATAGATGAGTGTATTCACACTACCAGAGACACACACTCACACTTGGGCTGGTGCTTGGGGAAGTGGGTTAAAGAAAAGGGTTGAAAAAGCTGAGGAGGGATGTGGGGAAAATGGCGAGAGGTATGAAAATTGGGGTAGTCCGGGCCAAAGTCTAAAAGTAAAAGTTGGCATATTTTTGTTTTCTCAACTGAAAATTAAGCCGCCTTTTCACAAATACACCAACACACACTCAAATGCAGATGCCTCTGCCTCTTACCACCTTTCTCCTAGCCTGTACGTGTATGTGAGTGTGCTTGTGCGGCTTTCACAATGACGTCATAGGTATGCTGCTTATAGGGCCGGCCTTTTGCGTTTTTATAACCTACTTGCCGTGCATTGAACCGGCCTTCTTTCTCTCTCTCTCACTTTTTCTCTATTGGTTTCTCTCATGGCTACTTTCTGCCGCATCCTCCCACCTCCTTTTCCCACATCCTCCTTAAAACGTTCCTCTCTTACTAGCAATCTCTGGTTACTTTCTCTCGCAGGAGAGCGCAACTGCAGGCTGCAGCTCGGCGTTTTGGGCCAATGAACTCGCGCTGCAAGGACATTGCAGTTGCCGTCGGGTGGCATTATGAAAGGCAACAACAGCAAACAGGACAAAAGCAACAACAACCACAGCAGCTACAACAATTTGACAAATTCTGCAGAAGCCAAAGGTCCTTTGGACACCAGCCTCTCTTCAACCCCCTCAGTATCCCAGCAGCTGTGCGGTAAGCCCCCTCTAGACGAACAATTTACGCTGATTTGGCATTTAAACTGCAGTTGAAGGATACACACCCAGCTTTTATAAATGCCGTTGAGAGTGTATTTGTGAGTGTGTGACATTTGCGTACGTGTGCGTCTGACTCTGATAATCCTTTCAACTGACCGGACGAATGGGCGTGACTTAGGCGCTGTCTAATTGGACCAGATTTTGCATAGATTTTAATGTAGCATATACCGACCTGTATTATTTTTGAGTTTTAAGTTATACTTTCATGATTAAATCTCTGAAAATACTTTGAGTTTTAGTATAAGAATTTACTTAGGATAAGTGTTTTGGGTTTGGCCTTTCTTAAGCGTTTAATTACTTAATCAGTTTTATTGACAATGCGGTGCATTATTTTATGTTTAAAATCATTTTCAAACAACATATTGAAATCCGAATGGAAAAGAACACTTCTTACATGTATGCAAAAAGATTTTCTTACCAAAATGTAATGTCTGGAAAATGGAAAGCTATCTGCCAACAAAGATATAATCCTCACACTTTACTCATTTTATCTGCAAAGGACTTTGAAGACTATTCCCCAAGCAAGTATTCCTGTAATTATTTTTTATTTCCATTCTTTCGTATTCAATTTGAAATTTCGTCCATAACACTCAAAGTTCATATCGTTTTCGACTGCTGCCGCACCACCCGCAGCAAAGCTATTAACTATCTGCCCCTCGCAACCCCTCGAAACAATTAAAATTGCCATTTTCATTCGCTCATTTGTCAAACCGTGTTTTTGTTGGCCTCTGACTTCAACTGGGCCATAAACATTTGTCGTTCACTTTGGCCCATTTTCGTTGCCTACTTTCGGGAGCTCTTTCTGGTCTAATGAGGCGCGTGTGGTGCGGTAAGCCTCTTAAATGCTAAAGGCCCGAATGCCATATCGGCCCATTTTGGGTGCTGCCGATTTTGGTATTTTATTTTTACATTGCTCCGGCAATTATGGGCTGTCGCCTCTCGTTTTGGCTAAATTTAACCTGAAAGGCGGGGCGTGACATTCAGCAAGCCACCAAATCGGCTCTATATATATGATATATGCGCGTACGTGTGTGTGTGTGTGCTCTGCTTGTGACGTCATCCGCGCTCTTGCAATGTTCGAAGGCCAATCGACAGCGGGCACAACAACACAAAAGCTTCATTATTTGCAAACACACGAGTATTTGGGTTAAGTCCGCGCCCATATGCCATTCCTTCAAAGGGATTAGACCGAAGGATATGGGCCTCATCTTCATCATCAGTCATCTTGTTGAGGTAGCTCTAAGAAATTTAGTGGGTCAAGTGTCCTTAAGGATCCTTAGATTGTTTTCAGCCCTCTGACCTCTCTGGCTGAAGCGATCTCAGGACATCGAAAAGAAGAATCCTTGCCCTGTGGCCCACAATGCAAATTGTTGCAATTGTATTCAAAAGAGGCAGTGGTGATGATGGGCGCGTCTCAAGGTCGGTGCATTCAAATTAGCTGCAGTTTATTTATGTCTCGGCATCCAACTATCCGTTTTAGCCCGGTTTTTATGCAAGGCACAACGGGCCAGAATGACGCCTTTCGTTTTTTGGTTTATTAATAAGTGCGAAGGGGGGCGGTGACTGCTCAGCTGAATATGAACACTACGAGGGCCGAACGGGGGAGTGGCCTGCATATAAATAAACCAAAAAAAAAAAAAAAAAAAAATAAAAAAAAAGAGACCAGCAACCGCAGGAAGGAAACTGTACCAAATGCAGTTCCCGCGCCGGTGGCCTTATTCACAGCCGATTCAATTATGTGGCACAGATGAGGAGGCCACGTCCGAGCAAGCCTGATCACTTCTGCACTGGAAACATTTTTAAGCTGTCACATTATATTTTCATAATGGAATTGGTTAGGAAAAGATGACTGCAAACTACCTCCGATTAACTAATTTGATTTCAAAAGCCTTATTATTATATACATATACAGTTTAGGTATTAAAAATATCCTCAAAGAACTATATAAAAGCTCAAGTCACATAAACTTTTTAATATCTAATCATACAATACTTTAAGGTTAATATAATAGAAGAATAGATCAACTTTCGCCTAGGTCTTGTGACATGAAATATACAGTTTTTCATCTATAAAGTTTACTAAAGATATTAGATGATATTAGATCACTATTTTCCTTTATCTCCTGTGTGTGACGCTTCAAAGTTCCGGCTGAGGAAAAGGGGTTTTTTCGAATAGGTGTGGAAATGGCGGCGGAAAAACCGCAACCGACAAACGTCAACGACTCTAAGGACAACAACGACGGCGACGAGCAGTTAGCCCCTGACCCAGTTAAATAACTGAGAGATAGAGTGTGAGCAAAAGAGAAGGATAGACCGAGTCAAAGAGAGAGAGGGAGACACTGCCGACGTCACCATTTGGAGAACCTTCGTTAGGTGCACGGATGACGATG